CACAAACATCACCACGGCGGAGACTTCGGACACGGACACCACCACGGCGGCAAGTTCGGACACGGACACGAACACCACGGAAGCGCCGAGCACGCGCATCACCACGGCGGCGAGTTCGGACACGGACACCACCACGGCGGCAAATTCGGCCACGGACACCACCATCACGGTAGCGCCGATCACAAGCACCACCACGGCGGCAAGTTCGGTCACGGACACAAGCACGGCGGTAGCGCCGAACACGCTCACCAACATCACGGCAAGGCCGCTCACGGTCACCACCACGCCGGTCACTCCAAACATCACCATAAGCACACCGTCTAAACACGTCGTCGTCGTCCGACGGAGACGACCGCGATCGCCAGTCGTACCATACCGCCGCATAAACGACCCCGCAGGGACGGAAGTGACGAAGTCGGCACTCGTCTCCAACTCCTGCTCCCATCTTCCGCCCCGCTGCATTTGGTATTGACTATATGAATACGGTTAAGGTTATCGGGTTCTTCGATTACTTGTTTCCAAAGTTTCCAGCTCCTCCGACTACTCGTCTTGTATTTCCAGTCTCTCCATAACTCCCTTCTCGTGCGCTTCATTCGCTTCTCTACACGATTTAAGCCTCTCTATTTCGTCGGCGGCGTCAAATGTTTCCGGCGGTTGTCAATTGTTTTATTGCCACCGCCGCCGCCAGTGTTGTTGTTGGTTGGCGTTACTGACACTCCATACTAATTTCGGTATTCCTAAATACAGTAATGTATGAACTGTTGTTACTACTTGTATAACTTATATTATATATTTGTTCTGTGATAATTTTAAGTACTCATTTGTAATGATTTATTTTTATTACTACTTATCGTTGTAATCGGGTCTTTTTGTACGTATACATATACATATATATATATACATATTAGTACTATTCTATAATAATATGTTATTTCAGTTTAGGATAGACTAATCAAAATTGGCGGTGTAGCTTCCGGTTTCTTACTGTTATATTATATAAACATTGTATTTTATCGTATAGGTACATATTTACGTATACAATATTGTAATGTTTTATTATTGTTATACTTATGTCAAGTTGTTTTGTTATATTAAAATGTTATTATTGGTTATATGAATTGTTGTTATTCTTGTCAACTGCTGTGAATCTGAGCTCGCGCTTGTTCGATACTCGTTTACTATAACACTAAATTCACTCTCTACTATATCTATACGTCTATTTACTGTAGCAACATAATAATAATAATAATAATAATAACATTATATTATATTGTAATACGCGCCCAATTATCGTGTTTTTATCACGTGACGACGAAAAAAAAACAATGTATAATATATAGCATATATATGTACAAAAACGTGTTTATCCGTATCATTGTACATAAACGCTCGCGCATTTCACCGTCGTCATTACAGTAATACTATATACCTAATATATATATATATATATATATTCATAAACCACCACAGTTAGTCATAAAAACAAAGCTTTTATATAACTACAACGGCAAATACTTATATATATATATAATGCATAACGCGCGAAAGACTAAATAGTGTTTATCTTTTTACGTACCACATGTATACCCCGTTGATATATAGTACAACGCTACACTAACCCAATGGATAACACTACGTGGGGTTATTGGACCGTTTAGCCTTGTATTATTGCTGCACATTTTCGTCTGTAATTTCCGTGTCGAATAATGATTTTCTACGTTTTTTTCCCCTTCGGGCTCCCCTGAGTGTGTATAATATACGCTGCACGCACGTACACTCCCAATTGCATCTTATGAAATCCAACATAATATAATACATTGTTATCTACACATGCGCGCCCTGCGCAGCTATACCTATATATATATCCCGCACCACCAATGTATTTGGATCGCATAATAACAAAATGACTAACATAGATTTGTTTTTTTTCATTATCTACAGGGCCCACCACAGCCGGGGCAGCCGTTCAAGTTTACTATTGGTGAATCATGCGACCGAATCAAGGAAGAATTCAATTTTCTTCAAGCTCAGTACCACACGTAAGTGTTTTGAATACAAGCTCCACATTCATACAGATCTATATGATATATAACAAGAACAATATTCTTACAGTACAAAACATTTATAATAATATCGAGGAAATTTTTAAAACAAAATTAAAATTTAGGTTCACGTTTATAATATTAGGTACCTTTATTGTATCTGCCCCGAAAAAAATATTATTACTTTTATGTACCTATACTTTCTACATATGTTGTATCGTATGGGTATATAAGTACAATATAATATCGTCATTATTGTTTGGATATTAATTCGTCAATTATTGGGGGATGGGAATGACCGATATTCGGTGTATAATATATATTTCCAACGGTGTGCCCACGACGTATATACCTACGGATAATCGAGTTGCACACGTATATGTATCACGTACGGTTTGGTTTTCAGCCTGAAAATGGAATGCGAAAAATTGGCCAGCGAGAAAATCGAAATACAAAGGCATTACGTAATGGTGAGTGAGCGTGAAGGTCCCGGACAATTAATTATGTAGCATGAACAACCGCTGTACGCAATGCTTAAGAGCCATTGATATTGTCGTCGGCATTAACAACAACGACAACAACTACCCCTTAATGCCTGTGAAGTCCCTCGAAATGTTCTTGCCATCACGGCCTTATCATATGTATACATTAGGTACCCACCTACTACATAATGCCATAATATTAAACAATTCATTTCTTTTTTACCTCTCATTTTTTAATATTTGTTATCATCATCTTATTTGTATATATATGTGTGTGTGTATGTGTGTATGTGTGTGTGTGTGTGTACATGGGTTGATCTGTTCGAAATAGCTATTCTAATTTGTCTAAAAAAAGTTTTTGTATTCGAAATATTTTAAACACAAAAATTTTACAAGAAAGTTAAATATTTAGTCATTGCGGTTTCTTAGATTTTTGTATTTTAATTCATAACCAGGGAAAAAATACTTTTATAAAATATATAAAATACATTGATACATAAATATCGAATTTAAATAGTCTTTCATTAATAATACTGTGGCTTACTAGTGAGAAGTTTCTTTTATCTAAATTTTAATGCAAATGATTGTTACTAATTATTCCATTTTCAATGTTCATACGTACAATTTTTCTTTAGAAGAATATAATATCTTGCTTCTAACTGAAATTAAAAATAAATATTGTTACTAAAAATCTAAAAAAAATACTACAGTAAAAAAATAGTGAAAACTAGATCATTTTTACAATTATGATATAATTACTTGAATTACTTTTAACTTCTTGTATAAATAAATATATAAAATTGATTTTAAAATCATTTAAATAGATTGCTAATATTATAAATGCATAGTTATTTTTTAAGCGGTGTTATTTTGTATTTTTTTATTTAAACATATAAAAATAGTAATAATAATACTGACGATACGCCTACATAACATATTATTAAGGCGATTAGTATGTAATAATTAAAACATTAGACGCGCCGTACTCTATGTATACGTAATGCACTCAGCCGATATCGTGAACTAACGAATCATACCCTTGTTATATACGTGTGTCGTGTTTTACGATAGGTATTATAATATTTTAATAACATAATTTAGTCAATAAAAATCACTGTAGAAGTAGACGAGGTATTTGGGTTAAAATAAATATTTGTGCGATTATAATCATAAAGGGTGCAGACGATAAAAGTATATTATATAAAGAAAGAATGAAATGTTTTTGGACGATAAATTCGATATTTACATCCGAATATCCCTTATATTTGTTTTGTCTGTATTGTTTAATTTTTGTTTTTTTTTTTTTTTACATTATACTAACATTGCTTGTTTATTTTTTGGGTTTGTTTTTGTTTATCCCTCACCATCAAAACAGTACCAAAATGGAAGTCGAAAAAATCGTCCAAGAAAAAACCGAAATGCAAAGGCATTACGTGATGGTGAGTACAGGTCACACATAAATAGTGTTTACCAGAGCATATATAATTGTATAGCTTTCGGCTATGGCTTTTGCATGCATAATATTGTCATCGTTGTTGTTGCACGAAAATATAATTTTTTTATTATAATACATAAATGTTATTTAAAACGTGGACGTAAGTAGACAGAAATAACGCATTTGTCCACTCGATATATCGTTAAATCAGGATATAATTACTGGAAGGGTTAAGTAAACTTAACTTACCTTTGCGTAATTGAAAACTTACTTTCGTTTAAATTATTCGAAACATATTTAGCTTTGAAGAGCAATGTGTTTATTAGGTATTTGTGTATACCAAATGTTTCATTCTTGAGCAAATAATTCGACGACTTCTAAGAATTCAAGTAATTTATAAATGTTTAATTAAGATAATATTGTATGTTAAACGCTACACATTTCTTTACTGTATAAAATATTATTTTTTATACACTTCCATTTTAAAAATCGTTGACCATATTGTATATAATAATAAAATATATATAAAAACGTACATATTTTATTTATTACACTGAAAATTCAATTATTTGGATATTTTTTTTTATTTACATTTTGTTGTTTTCTATTGATGGAATACGCGTCTCGAAATACTCTCAACAATTTCTATTACTCTCTTATAAAAACACGTGTTGACATACTATTATTTTTTTACTAAAGAATAAAAACGATTATTTTCGTCGTCACAAAGCTTGTCTTTCGATTGGTTTAACGGTGTTTCGAGAGACTATGTCGCGTTTCCGCGATAAACGTCAATTGATTGTTGATACATATGTCGTCAAGTGTATCTGTAGTATTCTAATCAAATTATTTTTTGTGTATTTACAGTACTACGAGATGTCCTACGGCCTCAACGTGGAAATGCACAAACAGGCAAGTTTTTAATTATAATCCTTTTTTTATTATTTTTTTTTTTTTTGTCTTTTTATCTCGTATCGTGTATAATAACATCGAGAAATCTCAAACATTTCACCACCCCATTCTAGCCCACGACTCCGTGTTTTTTTTTTTTAATCCCGTTACGACTGTAGTGCAAATTTCTGGCAAAGGGTCGTTAAAACCGTCATCCCACCGAATTAATATTTCGTTTTGTACAAAACGCCGAGGGAGAAATATGGCAAAGGACATACGTGGGGGAGAAGAGAGTTGTTTGTTATGTATATATATTATATATATACACTGCAGCAGTAAGGGAGCGGAGGATTTCTCTCTTATTTTTTCACTCTACCCCTGCTGCCATCCGCTGTAAATTCATTTCGGCGAAGTAATCGCCCGGACTGTTTTCCACCCTAGTACTTTTTATTTTCAACACAACGTAATCTTCCCAACCCCTCCGGTTTTTTTAACGAGTCTCCGATTAACTCAGTCGCCCTCGAAATATCGCAGCGCGCTCCCATATAATAATAACAATAAGTGCCCCGGAGGTATATTTCCCGTCGTCGAAATAAATTTTCAGATTCCGCCACAGTGGTTGGTCGGAGGGGGCGGAAAAGAAGTAGAAGAAGAATGAGAGGCAGAGAGGAGAGAGATTGCTCAACGCGACAACGACTGTTACACCAGTGGTGTGCAATTAATCGTAGTAGTATTTGGCTGCTAAACATAACAAATAATTCTTAAAGAATAACTACTGTTATTACAACCATTGCTATACTAATACACTATTATATGGTTTTTGAGCGATCATAAATTTATCGTGACAGTGATGTTGTTATGCATATTTCAGTGTGCGTATAATAACATAGGTACTAAGTATATTTACGTATTTATATCGATCTGTCGTAGTATATGTATACAGTAAAGCTGCAGTATGTATCAAAATAAGTATTATATTGCGTATATATACGCTACTGAAGTGTTTGAGATACACGTACTTAAAGCGTCGCCTTTTGACGTGGCCGACCGACGTGGGTTTTTGCTGAAAGTATATATACGTGTATACGTATATACGATGTTTAGTGGATATACGGTACGGTGTGTACTTTCCGAGTAGCTGCAATAGGAAAGTTGAAGTCAAAAAAGTAGAAAAGAAATAAGTAGAGGGATGA